AGGTATGGCCCTACAATATATTTTTCAAATTTGCAGATAGTCCACTTTATAGTCATACAGACAGAATGATGTATGGATTGATGAATGATGATGATGTGTGATGTAGAGATGATCTCCGCGCTACAGCGCCTCCGTGCATGCATTCTTATTTATCAAGGGTCCTCGTAAGCGACAGATGGTAGACCTCTTAGTAAAGGCAAAGTGCGTACGTAAGTACCAGGCAGTGGTAAGTCTTTTTGGTTTTCTCAAAAACGGATTCCAGCAAGTCTGCATCAATAAATGTGTATTTACTCAAAGTAGAGAATATAGTACTTTATTAACTAGTTATAGTCACGTTTTACATGGACACATTTATATGCGATTCAGCTATATTTGCACCATATCGCATGACTAGTTCCACATATCCATATCATACAAAGATAGTATAAATTATTGTCTGCCCGGATTTTCTCATGAAATGCCAGGCTAGGATTCATGCATATTCTCGCTACAGTAGCTGCATGCGCTGCCGTTCATCGCGACTGCTATCTTGCCTTACTTCAGTTAGGTAGCCGTTGTGTGAACGGTGCTGCTCTTGTATCGAGCATGCTTCTTCGCCTCGCTATTTTTGTTGCAGCATACTAGAGCTGCCACCTACTGGACTCCTTAGTGTATTATTTTACTACATGCGATCTCTCTAGACCACCTTAGGTCTCAGCAAAGTTGGGACTGGTGCCATGATGGCCTCTTTTTTTCTATAGCTATCGTTACTGAAATAGAAGCCGTGCTGTCTCCTTCTTGCTCGCAGTAGGGCTTACTTTAATAATGTAATTTTAAAATGTCGATACAGTAGCCTATTTTATAGTTTTATAGGTGTTTGCTGTCTGTTCTTGCTGATAGCGTGGTCTCTAAGCAAGTCAGTGTTTCACTTGGGTCGGTATCAGAGGGATTACAAGGTCTAGTAAGATGCGTAGAGTATGACATTTGGCCACTCACGCCAAAATCTAGGTCGTGTGATTGAACAATGTAATTT